TTTTTTTAAAGCTCTCCATTGGTCACTAGACCAGTTGAAGTATTTCACCCTAACATAGAGTTTGGAATCTCAATTTGTATGAGCTACTGAAGAAAGTTACATCTCCAGCATCAAAATATAATTGCATTTATTTTCAAATGTAAAAGTGAAAAGAGCATTAGTATCTAAATGGCAGTCGCTTGTAGCAGACCTACTACTTGTTGTTTAGTCGTTATGTCGTGTCCAACTCTTCATGACCCCATGGACCAGAGCATGTCAGGCCCTCCTGTCTTCCTCTGCCTCCTGGAATTGGGTCATATTCATGTTGGTAGCTTCGATGACACTGTCCAACTGTCTTGTCCTCTGTCATCCTTTTCTCCTCTTGCCTTCACTTTCCCAACATCAGGGTCTTTTCCAGGGAGTCTTCTCTTCTCGTGAGATGGCCAAAGTATTGGAGCCTCAGCTTCAGGACCTGTCCTTCCAGTGAGCACTCCAGGTTGATTTCCTTTAGAATGAATAGGTTGGTTCTCCTTGCAGTCCAGGGGACTCTCAAGAGGCTCCTCCAGCACCACAATTCAAAAGCATAAATTCTTCGGCAGTCAGCCTTCTTTATGGTCCAGCTCTCACTTCCATGCATCGCTACTGGAAAAACCATAGCTTTGACTTTGCAGACCTTTGTTGGCAAGGTGATGTCTCTGCTTTTTAAGATGCTGTCAAGATTTGTCATCGCTTTCCTCCCAAGAAGCAGGCATGTTTTAATTTCATGGTTGCTCTCGCCATCTCCAGTGATCATGGAGCCCAAGAAGATATGGAGTTCCAGCTCTCACTTCCATGCATCGCTACTGGAAAAACCATAGCTTTGACTTTGCAGACCTTTGTTGGCAAGGTGATGTCTCTGCTTTTTAAGATGCTGTCAAGATTTGTCATCGCTTTCCTCCCAAGAAGCAGGCATGTTTTAATTTCATGGTTGCTCTCGCCATCTCCAGTGATCATGGAGCCCAAGAAGATATGGAGTTACTGCCCCCATATCTTCCCCTTCTATTTGCCAGGAGGTGACGGGACCAGTGGCCATGACCTTAGGGGTTTTTTAATGTTGAGCTTCAGACCATTTTTGGCGCTGTCCTCTTTCACCCTCATTAAGAGGTTCTTTAATTCCTCCTCACTTTCTGCCATCAGAGTGGTATCATCTGGATATCTGAGGTTGTTGATATTTCTTCCGGCAATCTTAATTCCAGTTTGGGATTCATCCAGTCCTGCGTTTCGCATGATGTATTCTGCATAGAAGTTAAATAAGCATGGAGACAATATACAGCCTTGTCGCACTCCTTTCCCAATTTTGAACAAATCAGTTGTTCCATATCCAGTTGTAACTGTTGCTTCCTGTCCCACATATAGATTTCTCAGGAGACAGATAAGGTGGTTAGGCACTCCCATTTCTTTAAGAACTTGCCATAGTTTGCTGTGGCCCACACAGTCAAAGGCGTTTGCGTAGTCAATGAAGCAGAAGTAGATGTTTTTCTGGAACTCTCTGGCTTTCTCTATAATCCAGTGCATGTTAGCAATTTGGTCTCTAGTTCCTCTGCCCCTTTGAAATCCAGCTTGTACTTCTGGGAGTTCTTGGTCCACATACTGCTGAAGCCTAACTTGTAGGATTTCGAACATAATCTTGCTAGTGTATGAAATGAGTGTAATTGTACAGTAGTTAGCGCATTCTTTGGCACTGCCCTTCTTTGGGATTGGGATGTAGACTGATCTTTTCCAGTCCTCTGGCCACTGCTTTTTCCAAACTTGCTGGCATATTGAGTGTAGCACCTTAACAAAGTCATCTTTTAAGAGACCTCTGGGTAGTGTGGGCGGCATATAAATTGAATAAATAATAATAAAAATAATAATGTTTTCTAAGGCCCACTTGACTTTGCTCTTCGGGATGTCTGTCTCAAGGTCAGCAACCACACTATCTGGGTTGTCCGGGACATCCAGATCTTTCTGGTATAATTCCTCTGTGTATTCTTGCCACCTCTTCTTGATGTCTTCTGCTTCTGTAAGATCTGTACCATTTCTGTCCTTTATCATGTCCATCTTTGTACAAAATGTTCCTTTAATATCTCCAATTTTTTTAAAAACAGATCTCTGGTTTTTCCCTCTCTGTTATTTTCCTCTATATATTTGCACTGTTCATTTAAGAAGGCCCTCTTGTTTCTCCTTGCTATTTTTTTGGATGTCTGCATTCAATTTTCTGTAACTTTCCCTATCTCCCTTGCATTTTGTTTCCCTTCTCTTCTCTGCTATTTGTAAGGCCTCATTGGATAGCCACTTTGCTTTCTTGCATTTCCTTTTCTTTGGGATGGTTTTTGTTGCTGCTTCCTGTTACAAGCCTCCGTCTGTAGTTCTTCAGGCACTCTGTCCACCAAATCTAGTTCCTTAAATCTGTTCTTCACTTCCACTGTGCATTCATAAGGGATTTGGTTTAGATTATACCAGATTAGCCCGGTGGTTTTTCCTACTTTCTTCAGTTACAGCTTGAATTATGCAATAAGAAGCTGATGATCAGAGCCACAATCAGCTCCAGGTCTTGTTTTTGCTGACTGTATAGAGCGTCTCCATCTTTGGCTGCAGAGAACATAATCAATCTGATTTTGTTATTGCCTATCTGGTGATTTCCATGTGTAGAGTCGCCTCTTGTGTTGTTGGAAAAGAGTGTGATGACCAGCTTGTTCTCTTGACAAAACTCTATTAGCTTTTGCCCTGCTTCGTTTTGAAGTCCAAGGCCAAACTTACCTGTTGTTCCTTTTATCTCTTGACTCCCTACTTTAGCATTCCAGTCCCCTGTAATGAGAAGAACATCTTTCTTTGGTGTCAGTTCTAGAAGGTGTTGTAAGTCTTCATAGAATTGTTCAATTTCAGCCTCTTCAGCATCGGTGGTTGTTGCATAAACTTGGATTACTGTGATGTCCTGTTTGTTGAACCTTGAATGGTGTCCTGGCAAAAGTCAGGACCACAGACAGCTCGGAGCAGCACAGATTATGATTTCTAGCCAGGCTAGAGGCAGAGCAAAGCAAGAAGCCAAGAACTAATTACTCGAGCCATACCTTATTCAGCTGTGAGCTTAAACAACTATCATGGCCAGATTCTCAAGGGGGTCTTTGGAAAATGCCCTTTTGTAGTCCCAGCGCAGGTCTGGTGCCTCCCTCAAGGTGAGCTTACCAGGTGACTGAGGAGGAATACACATGGGGGCAGATTTTACTCCTCAACTCTGCATGTTGCAGTAATGTAGAATTAAAATTGGGAGTGCAAGTACCTTTCATCACAATCCCTTAGCCAGGGCCCCCAAATGCTGGCAGTTGTGTTGATTTGTATTTGTGTGTTTGTGGCTGTGTAGATATGTGCATGTACAACAGGTGGGCATAAGTGCCTTCAAGAGCCTTTCTTTAAAAGTGGAAATACCAGAATGTGCAGGGGGTAGGAGCCTATATGTATATCACAGAAGTGAGTACACCCCCTCACATTTCATAAATATTTAAGTATACAGTGGTGCCTCGCATAACAGGCACCCCATTTAACGACGAATCTGCATAGCGATGATGTTTTTCCAATCTCTTTTGCGATCGCATAACGATGTTTCCTATGGGGAAAAATCACTTTGCGATGATCGGTAAGCTGTTTGGCTTACCGATTTTCACATAGCGATGTTTTTTCCCCAGCTGATCGGTGGTTCCAAAATGGCCGCCAGGTAAAACAGGGATGGATTCCTCGCTTACCGGGCAGCCAAAATGGCCGCCATATGGAGGATTTTCACTTAAAACATACGTTTTAAGCCCATAGGGGAACACATTGAAGGGGTTTCAATGCATTCCTATCGGCTTTTTAATTTCGCATAGTGACGAATCCCTATAGCGACGATTTTTGCTGCACGGATTATCGTCGCTATGCGGAGCACCACTGTATCTTTTCATGTGACAACACTGAAGAAATGACATTTGGTTACAATGTACAGCAGTGAGTATGCAGCTTGTATAACAGTGGTTTGCCTCTCTCACCCCCAGTGCACGGACAAACCAGATCAAGATTTTCCAGTAGTTTATTTCCCAGTATGAGAGACAAAAGCTCCATCCCAACTACAAAGCTCAAAGGAAACAGGGAAGTCTTGAGAATGCCACCCACCAACACATTTACTTTATTATGATTTTGGAATGCCTAAATAGGCTTTGTGTAGCCTTCGGTATGGGGGCACCAGACAGAAGGATGCCTTAAGGCAGACGTGTTGCTACCTCTGAGATAAGGGCAGTCACAGTCCAAGTGGCTCTGGATTACAGTGCAATGTATTGGCCACTAGGTTTTGCAGTGCTGAAATACGAATAGGCTGAAAAGGGTTTAGAAAAAAGTTTGCTCTAACAATTTCTGTATAATGGTTGTTGTGAGTTTTTTGGTCTCTTTGGCCATGTTCTGAAAGGTTGTTCTTCCTAATGTTTCGCCAGTCTCTGTGGCCGGCATCGTCAGAGGAGTGCTGTCCTTTGAAGATGCCGGCCACAGAGACTGGCGAAACGTCAGGAAGAACAACCTTCAGAACACAGCCAAAGAGCCCGAAAAATCCACAACAACCATTAGATCCCGGCCGTCAAGGCCTTTGCAAATACAATTTAGAAATGTATTTCACTAAATGTACACTGATCACCAGTAAGTGAGTCACATTAAATTTCATTGTGATCACACTGACAACAATATAGTGGTGCAGGTCACTGTCGTTGTTTACGAGTTAACAAGTTGATTCTGACTTTATGAAAAAACTATGTATTAACAAACTCCAAAATATCGTATAATTAACAGCCTTGCAAAGTAATGTAGAGGCCACTGCTGTCCTCAATTTGCAGAGGAGACATTGAAGCTGCCAACAAGTAACTTGACTGAGCCCAGGCAAAGAAGTTACTTGACCTGAGCTTCATTTGCAGCAGAAACATGATGAACTTTGTTGTTGACAAGATAATAGCTCTGAAATTTAACAAAAACAACTTATTATTTTACAGAGAGTTGGATTGAAAGATGTCTCAGTGAGAGTGAAAACAAACGCTATTCCAGTCACACGTCTCTGGGGAATGTTTCTAATGATGAAAGTAAGTATGAACAATTTTACATAGAAGACCATAGATTCCTATTGTTAGAAAGGACCTCAAGACAAGGCAGTCAAAGCTGCTATTAAACTGTAAAGCATCAATTAATCCAGATGGGGCATATTATGAGGAAAATGTCAGCTACACTAGCTCAAAGTACAGTTTTGTATATACAATTAATAGGCTGCCCTAGAACTGCAGCTATCTGCACATCTTTCAGCAGTGTAGCTAGACTACAACTTCCATCAGCTCTAGCCGGAATAGCATAGTCAGGGATCATGCAAGTGGTACTCTGAAAATATATTCCCCATTCCTGGCATATAGGCTTTCAGATGTAAGAGTGCTTGCTCTCTGTTCTCTTCTCCCCAGGATTGCCTGCAGGCCTTTTTCATTTTGTTCCAGAGTATGAGCAGGTTTATGAAATGGTAGTGGTTGGTCTTTGGCCGTAATAAAGTTTTATCTATCTATTATCTTATGAAATGGTTCACAATGTCAGTGTTTGTGGTTTGAAATAATAAAAATTTCAAAATTACATAATGTTCAGATGTGGAGCAGAAACCAAATATGATGTTCTAGAATAATAATTTCTGCCAAAAAGGAGATAGAGTATACATACCTTTTAAAAATTGGGGGTTCAGACCCAAAAATTAAGGCATAAAGTTACAAAAAGTACACAAAAACATATAAAATTAAGGACTGTAAAAGTATGTTTCCAAATTGATGTTCCACCTCAGCAAAAGAGGATGCAGGACAATTGTTCCTAATATCTCCAGTAAGCAAAAACCAAAGCAAAATGGTCCAGATTTAAATCAGTCTCATATATAAATATTTCTTGTCGGCTTCCAAAGAAGCTGACCTAGCATGATAAGAGCAAAACTCTATCAGGGTTATACACTTTTTTGTCCACTTTTCTGTGCAGAAATATGTAACATCAAATGATTTTAACAAATTAGCTGTATTTAGTCATTACATTTCAAATTGCAAATTGTAGAGCAAGGACATTACATATATATTTGAATCCTGCTTAATCTGCCTAATAAAGGATCATTTCAAAGCAGCAGGCCTTCAGAATTCAGAAACTAGATCAACCATTTAAAAATGCCTTTAATATTGTCTCTCTATATGGTACTGCAGCATAAATAGAATATTTTGAATAAACAGGGACCCTAATAAAAGAGATGCATTGTGTAGTTCTGGAGGCACTCTTGTTGCAAAAGTGGTTTATCATTTTTTGCTGGGTTAATGGGACGTCAACCAAATCCCAAAGCCCTTTGGTTTCTATGTTGCAGGCTATAAGTGCTGCTCAGGTAAGAGTTAAAGACCAGTGAAGGAAATTCAAGGAAATTCCAAGTCAGCATACAGACAGTTCTGTGTAAGTTGCAAGAGTTCAGGGAGGAGAAAGAGAATAATTATAGCCCAAAGCTGGAATCAGTTCATAGATGTGAGTAGCAAGAAGCTAGCAGGTAGAGATTTCTCCCCAGGTAGAGCTCTTTTTTTCCTTTCCTGTCACTTTTCACTATGGTTCCATGGAGGGCTTTATCAAATTTCAACACCCCACCATAAACAAATGTTTGTCCCCTCCAGTTACTTCCTGATTGCCTTTGACTTGCTGAGCTGGTATTCAGTGGTGATACTTCACAGCCCTGTTCAGATGCTAGCCCTGACAGCAAGGCAGATTGTAACCTGGGTGGTTATGGGTTTGCAACCCCTGTGGAGTGTTTGACTCAGCCCAATGAGTAGGGAAATCTTGGGAAGGGGCTGTGACTCTAATTGGAGTAGGAATGAACCACATTGGTTTAGCGCTTTAAAGATAGTACACCCAGAGCTGTTTTCTTTGTGCTGTGGATCTTCTGCCTTGGGCAATAAAGTTATCTGGAATTTTGTTCCTCACCCTTTTTAAGAGAGGTATTTGCACTACTTGTGTTTTGCTACATTTCCTGCTCTGGTATAGTGTTGGTGAATAGAACTCAAGGTTGCATACTGTATTTTGTAGCATCCGGTTTCGACTGTGCTTATATTTCTGTTGTTGGTGTTTGGGTATATATGTGTATGTATGCACAAACACACATTTGTAAAGTTCATTGTGTTCACAATACTCATATAAAGGAAATAGCACCATAGAACCTGGTCAGCAGTACACAAGTACCCATGTATATCACACCTATATAAAGGAAATAGCACCATAGAACCTGGACAGCACCCATGTATATAACACCCACAATGTCCTTCCCCATCTGCATATTAAGCAGACCTTCATGCATCTGGAAAGGTGCTTGTAAGCATGTTTTGACTGAACGTGCTGACAGTGCTTCCATAATTGAAGGCCCAGCCACATCAGAGCCCTCATTCACAGGAGTACTCTAAGTATATTCTACAGAATTTGCTTACAGATACTTCTTCAGATCTCTGCATTAGACACATTAAGGTAGTTGACATGCATGCGGAGAGGATGTTATGTGTATTCCCACTATGATTAGAGACATCCCCACTCAGGCAATAATGCCCAAGTAGGTATCTAGTGTGCTGGTGTGATTGGATCTGGACTGCAGGGCTTGGATGATAGGTCACCTGAATCATGTAGAGATGCTCTCCAGGGATCCATTCTTCTATTTCCCTTGATCAGTGTCTAGCTGTAGCAGCTGTATATATGGCACTGGATATTGATCATGGCAGAGGTGAGGAAACTCAAGCCAAATCTAGCTCTCCTGCGGTCCTGATCGAACTCTCTAGGAAGATCCATAAGACCAAATATCATTTCCCATATTACCACCATTTGCTAGTTTCCAAATGTTTATACAGCTTTTCCCCTTCTCTCCCCTTCTAAATGACTGGAAATACTCTCCCAAGGTTTATTCAGTGGCAGTAAGAACCTCAGTCTAAAGCATGCTAGCATTTTTGGCCTCACCCTTTTACCATTGACTCCATTCACCATTGTGTTGCTTTAAAATCAAATGCTTGGCCTTTAATAATTTATTTGAAATTGAATTTGGTCCTAAGGCCAAATGAGTTCCTCAGCCTGCAGGATTGCCTGGGTGATTCTAAGACCTCTGTGAGGTAGCTTGATGCATTTCACCTCATCTTTGTGAAGTACTTTAACCTTTATGATATCATTGGCTCCCAGCAGGCTAGCTCTACTGAGCCAAGATGAGGGTGCAGGCCTTCACAGAGTTTATCAACTTGATAGTTTCAATTTGATATCTTCAGTAATGGCAAAGCCTCAGCCCACTGAACATGACCTTACCTTCCCAATGATTTTGAATGGGAAAGAAAAGCAGTCAATTAGGGAAGGAGATAAGACACATAAATCAATACCAGGTAACATCTTTTAACCTCTGTATTCTTTGCCTCACCATATGAGGAAAAAAGGGTTTGCTTAGTGTTTGTCACAGACATCTTTAGATTTTGTAAACTTTAGAAAAGAAAAGTAACATCACTGTCAGACTGATATGTGTGACTCAAAGGGAGGCATAATCTCACTTTTTCCTTAGTAGGCTACTTTATACCACATCAGACTTTTAACTCCCTCTAGCCCTGCTAGAGTGGTAGGGGGTGAATCCTTTTGTTTTCTGGATTTTTTTTCCTGTTAGTCTCCTATAACCTTTGCCATTGGCCACATTGGTTGGGGATAATGGGAACTGTTGGCCAAAACATCTGGACGGGTTGGGAGTGGCCCACAGGGTTCCTTCTAGCTCTGCAAATCTAAGATGATGATGATGATTCTACAAGAGAATAATAGGAGAATTTAAAAAGATTCAATGTACAGTATTTGCGAAGGCTTTCACGGCCGGGATCTAATGGTTGTTGTAGGTTTTTGGGCTCTTTGGCCGTGTTCTGAAGGTTGTTCTTCCTGACATGTCGCCAGTCTCTGTGGCCGGCATCCAACAAACACCAATAGAGCATGGACAGAGTTCCTACTCCAGTCCTCTGAAGATACCGGCCACAGAGACTGGCGAAACGTCAGGAAGAACAACCTTCAGAACACGGCCAAAGAGCCCGAAAAAACCACAACAACCAATAAAAAGATTAAACTGTGAAATGTTCACATACAATATCAGCTCTAGACAGCACAGGTGGTGGAAAGGATATGATGGAAACTGAGAAACAGGGCTGTTAGCTAGATTTGGACCCAAAGAGTTCCAAATCAAGTCCTTGGAGTCCTCGGTCTACATGAAGAAGAAAAGGTGGGAGGGAGGGAAGGAGAGGGAAAGAGAGGAAGAGAGAGAGAGATGAATGTTTTGTAGATTTGTAACCTGTTTTCCTGGAACTGCTCAAAAGTTTGAGAATGTATTAATGGTGTAGCTTCCTTGTATCTTTGTCATATCCTCTAGCAATTTCACTAAAAGTATTTCCCCCAATATTGTTTTCTCTTAACAGATGAGGAGAAAGAGAATAACAGGGCATCCAAACCACATTCTACTCCAGCTACACTGCAATGGTAAGACTCATGTTTGAAAGGAAAAGAGAGCGAGAAAAAAAAATGCAAAGTATTAATTCTTCAACATGTGGGTGGGCAAAGCGGAGTCCTCCTGCAATTTTTGCACTTCAGCTCCCATAATTCCTCACTACATGCTATGTTAGCTAGAGCTGTTGGTTGTGTTCCAACAGTTACCTGGATGGGCGCATTGCCCACCCCTGCTTTAAGATTTTCTAGCTACCTGCATTTGAAATAAGGAAACAAATGCAAGAAGTGATAAATGATACACTGTGGTGCTCTGGACTTTCACAGTATATTACCATTCTTTGATCAGGACTAGTTTTTATATTTTGGGGGAGCATAAGAAAGAACTTGTGATACTGGCTACAGAATTCAGCATTGACAGATCACATATTTTCTTCTTTTTCTTAAAGCCAATGTTTCGATATTATTTATGAAGATGTATTTGAAAGCATGCCTGCTGAAATGTCAGGAATTAGCCAAGCATCTAATTGTGGGCATAGCACCCTGCATCTCCTTGTGGCTAGCGAAACCAGTTCAAATCATGCAGTGGCTAAGAGATATATTTGCAGATGTTATTGAATTGCAGTCCCATCAGTCCTCACCACTAGCAATGTTTGCTAAGACGGACAGGAGGTTCAGTCTAACTGCATGTGGAGGGCCACAAGTTGCCCCTCTTATCTTCACCACTGAGCATGTTTATATAATCTCTAATATCCCAGTCCCAAGCTGTGCTACCAGACTGCTAGATTTTTCAAGAGTTAAAAAACAACAAGTGGTTCTTGTATTTTACTCCTCTCCCTGCCCATCAACTAGTGCTTCAGTTTATTCCACACGTGCAAGAAAGCACGCCTTCTCGTTTTGATAGGATTCTGGCTCTGCAAATAGCATGTTAGCCAAGAAGTCAGAGCTAATTAGATCACAGAGCTCTGCTCCCAGAAGAAAACAAGCAAATACTGGCAGCAGTATCCTTTTAAACACTTTTCCAGAATTCTCAATCACAGAGGTTGGTAAATCCCTAAGCCCCTGGGATATCCAGCTCTGCTGGAATGCAGCCATTATTTGCTATATTACATCCCAAATGTTGACAGGCATAAAGCCATATGATGCCATTCAGTCCACCTTTCTCAGTCATCACCTATGTGACTTGCCATTTGCTCTTTCTTGTGTACATATTTCTTCATTTGGTTCCTAGTTCCTTAAGGCATTCCAGGCAAGTCTGCAGGACTGATCACTTTTGACTTCATAGGTCCCTGGGTGTACCCCAAATCTTTGAGGGCAGATATGAAGAAAGTTACTTTTTTAAATTACAATTTCCAGAATCACCAAGCCAGCATGATTATACTGGTTGATGTTTTCTGCGAGCTGTAGTCCAGCAAAGTAACTTTCCCCATCTTTTTCTTTGGACATGCTTTTTAGATGTTTGGACTTGAACTGTAAATATCTGGCCTGTAGAACAGAGCCTAGATAGATGGATGAAGTTGAGTAGAAAGTCAAAAAGGTGACACATCACTCCAACTCCATTCTTCCTAATATGTTGCCACTGCTTTCCTTCTTTTCAGGCAGATGAACAGTTGACTTAGATGTAGGGTGGGGGATGGAGACAGTGACGCAAATAGGAAAGGAGAAGCCAGGTGCAGTGGTGTGCCAGCCTGCCCATCAATCTGCATTTTGCTTTCATTTGATACATCAGCATTAGCTGTGGTGGCTAATTGTATTGGTAGTGGTACACACAACCACACCACATTTTGGGAAAGCTGAGGGATAGTAGCTGTAGGAGCAGCAAAAGCAACAACAATGCTCTCCAATCTCCTATGTTACATTTCGGATTGTTTGACAAAAAAGGTGAGGATGAGCAGAGGGAGGGAAGGGGATTGCCTGTGCAGATGTAAACATGAGAGAGCTATATGAGGTTTTTTTCATTTGGTTGTCTCCTTTTCTTGAGTGAGCTGCTGTGTATGAGTTTTGAAATGGCTCCTGTAGAATTCCTGGATTTGAGATTTTGTTTACTTTTTGACCTTGAGTGATTTGCTTTGCATGATTTCCCCTGGGTTCTAGCCATGACCATTTGTCCTGCAGCAGCAGGCCTCACTTGTTTGATTTATACACTTTTAATTACTGCTTTATGATTCTGACCCAGTTGGATTCTGAAAAGTGTTACATTGATCTGTTTATCTGATAGCATGCAGTTACTACTTGAGGAGAGGCTAGTATGGAAATAAAAAGCCAGCATCTCTTGGACCAGCAATGGCAAACTTATGGCACGCGTGCCACAGCTGGCACGCAGAGCCCTTTCTGCTGGCACACAAGCCATAAGTCGCCGGATCGCTACTCCCCCCTTCCCCTGCAGCAAAACCTGAGCAGGTGGCAGCAACTGCGGTGCTGGTGCCCGGACAGATGGCAGGTCAGGATCTGGAGCAGCTGGTGCTGGCGGCGGATCTGGAGTGGGGTCTCAAAGCACCTCCATGCCTGGGAATCCCCCTTCCGCCACCACTTCCAGTTCCACCACTCCTTGTTTGTTTGTTTTTTACCCATTTGGGGCACACAAGCTGTCTTGGACTATTGGAGTGTTTTCCTTGCCCTGTGCCCCTTTATTGCTAGGCTGTGCAGGACCATTTGTGACAAAATTGTACAGTATTTATATGTTATGAGCACTGAAGATGATTGTACAATATTTGTGCATGTTGATATATTCTTATTTGTTCTCTTAAAGCATGTGGGTAATTTGCAGTGCTGTATAGGCATTGTTGGACTGCTACTCCCATGAAGGCCTACTACTGGCTTTACTGGCCAGGATTCCTGGGAGTGATAATCCAGCAATATCTGAAGTGCCACAAATTGCCCACCCCATCCTTGTTAATTGCAAATGAGATTTGCTTCTAAATAATATGGGTAAAAAAAGCCTGTACTTTTCAAAATAGATATAGATAAATAAAATAGATATCCTGAACCCGTGTTTATTTTTTAAAAAAATATTCTTCTCTATGTCATTGAATTATTGAAAATACTAATTTTATGCCACTAATTTTGCCCCAGGAGGGAATTTCCAGACAAGTTGAAATTTCTGGTTATTACACTTCGATTAGAAGGATTTTTCTTCTCCTCCACATTTCCCACTACTGTACATTCTTTCCCCATGGACAAAAGATGGGTGTTTTTAGTACTCCTGCAGAAATGAAACAAATGAGAACACTAGTGTCCGACGTGCTCCTTGGGAAATTCTGGAATTTTCAATATTTTTAGACTATCCTTCTGAAATTTTCTTTTCTAATGTTAAAATAAGCCAAAGAGCTCACTCATAAGAGTCCTGCTAGGCCAGAAACAATTGCAACAAATAAGTGCTTGAAACTCCTAGAATCCCCCAACCATCATGGCTGGTTTGATATTAAGGGCATCCTTTTATTTTAGCATTCCTCATTCTGAGACCAAGCCTTACAGCATCTCTGATTTTCACATTATGTAAATTTCAATTATATTTTTGGAATGGCCTTACCTTATTTCTTTGTAGACATGCAAACTGTGATGCACATCTCTTTCACGTTATAATTTTTCATTAAAAGAAAAAGAGAGAAGCCTTCATTCCTTCATTGGATGAGGCAGAGACTTATTTACAGAACTTACTGTACTAAAGTGGTGGCTAGTGCAATCATTTGGATGGATTTCAACATTGATACAACCAAGGTGGAGTGTCCATGCCTATCTTCTAGAAGGCAGTCCTCAGTTTAAAGAATTATCTACTCTAACAATTCATTTTTAAACTTAAAGAACTATTAGAAGAGAGAACAGGGGCCTTGAAGATGCCCATCAGCAGTTAGCACCTGCACAACAGACTGAGCAAGCAGGCACCAAAGTCACTTGGGCACATTTCCCCAATCAAGTGAAATGTACAGCATTTCTACTTTATTTTTTTCTAAATGTGCATTTGTAAATCAACACGTTCAGATTTTATGCGGTTTCAAATTTGTCTTCTCTTTTCTGGGGGACAATGTATTTCCTAACTTTGAGTGGTGCAAATATTTGGTTAACAGTAGCTTCTATTTCTTGTTGAGGAAAACAGTTTCTCAGGAAGCTTTTAAAGGAAATGCATGAGGAGGGCATTGGAGCATTAGAACATAGTGTGGGAGAAGGTGAGATAGAAACAAGAGATATGAAAGTATTGACTGTTTTCTTTTCTCATCATCCACAGCCAAATACACCAATTACATTCAGCCACTTGGCATTATGGCCAAAATCCTAACAATTGCGCCTGCCAGTATGAGGTAATTAGCTAAATCTCGTTGGTGAATTACTCCAAGTTCAGAAGCTAGCATAGGCATTTGCTGTTGCACACTAATCCTGACAGCTTGACGCACAACTGCTAAATTGTTAATTTGCAGCGATTTGTTGCTAGGATTTATGCCAGTTGCCTTATGCTGGCATCAAAACCTAGTGGGATTTGGGTTTATGTTATAATCTCAATTGGCCCTGACAATCAAACTGATTGCTTTCCCATTATCAATGAGGCAATTTATGATCTTTTCTTGTCAAAGTATTTTAAGAATATTTATAATATACAAAAAGTATAATCACATGTGACAGATGTAAGAAACATAAACCAGATGAAAGGGCATTTTAACTGACCCTGTGCCTCCTATAGTGAAGAAAGCATAAATCTGCAAATGTCAATACTGTAGATCCTTTTCTATGTAAGGCTAGGAGGGAACCAATTGGAAAAACGTGCAGACAAGGAGCAGGTGTAGAGCACAGTTCTTGGGACACTTTTCTACCTATTCTTCTGACCTTAACACATAATCAGCTCTGACCTATTGGCTGTTTAAGAAGCCTCTTTTCTGGTTTCACTAATCACTTTGCAGGTGCCTTTTTTTTGGTCAGAGTTTGATAACCGAACAGGGACTGTATTTCTAATTTTCTCCACTCCATATACACAACTTGATTGCTGGCTTAAGTCTTAGTAGGTGGAATGGGAAAGGAGAGGAATGCAATGCAACTGCATGAGTATC